AGGTCCATTTCATTTTCTAGAGCACTACCCCTTTAAGGCGCTGCGGGTCTCTAAATCCGCCTGCGCTTCCCTACCTGCTGGTGCTGCTGCTGCATCTGCTGCTGCTGCTTTTGCTGCTGCTGCTGCTGCTGCTGCTGCTGCAGTGACGCAGGCTGTACAGCTGGGGCGGGTGTCTCGGAAGAAGACAGCAAATCTTTTGTGGCTGCACAAACTGCAGGTAAGACATTGAAATAAAGTTTTTGATTTACTATATTTTATTTTTATTTATTTGTTTATTAATATATTAATATATTAATATATTATTATTTTTATTTTTACTCTTGGGTTGCTTTGCTTGCTGAGGCATTTGCTGCCGAGTGCATGCGGTTCTCGAGACAGAGCAGCACCAGCAGCTGCTGCTGCTGTTGCAGCCTCAACTGCTGCTGCTGCTGCTGCTGCTGTTGAAAGGGACGCAAAGCAAACGCCACGGCTGCTGCTGCAGCACAAAGAGCAGCAGCAGCAACACAAGCAGCAGCAGAAGGAGCAGCGCAAGGAGCAGCAGCAGCAGCAGTACAAGGAGCAGCAGCACGAGCAGCAGCCCAGTGAGCAGCAGCAGCTGCTTGCGTTTGTTTGCTGCTGTGCTGCAGTCAGCATCACATTACCAGCAAGCAGAGAAGGAGGCGTTTGAGGCTGTGGGGTCTCCAGGCCCTGAAGCAGCAGCAGAGGAGCAGCGGCGTGCTGCAGCAGAAGCGCAGCTAAAGGCATTAAAAACAGTTGAAGAAAGAAATATATCAGCTTATGTAGTCCTCCAGCATCTCGGTACCTACATGTGCTGCTGCTGCTGCTGTTCGTGCTGCTACTGCCCATGCCGTTGCTTCCCGGGCTGTTGCTGCTTTGGGTGCTGCTGGTCTTGCTGCTGCTGCTGTCCTTGCTGCTGCTGTTCTTGCTGCTGCTACTGCCCTTCCTGCTGCTGCTCTTGCTGCTGCTGTGGCTTCTGGTGGGCTGTTTTGTGTTGCGTTGTGGAGTTGCTGCCGTTGCTGCTGCAGTGTGTGGTGCTGCCTCAGTCTGCTGCAGCTGCTGCAGCTGCAGCTGCTGCTGCTGCTGTTTGCATGCGTTTTAGGTTTTTGCGAGGAAGAGCGCAAGGCCCCGAATAAGAAAATAACAGGGACAGATGATGTCTTCAGGTTCGTAAGGAGACACTTCATTAAGGAGACACTTTAGGGGCCCCTTTAGGGTACTTGGGGGCCCCTAATGGGGCCCCCCATGGACTTGCCTTGAGGGTACTTTGAGGGCCCCACTGCGCCTCTAAGGGCCCTCCTAAGGGCCCTCCAAGGGGCCCCCTAGGGGTCCCCCTAGGGCCCCTCTAGGGGCCCTCCAAGGGGCCCCTCTAGGGGCCCTCCAAGGGGCCCCCTAGGGGCCCCCCTATGACCCCTTTAGGGGCCCCTTGGGGCTCCCCTAAGGCATTGAGGGGGCCCCCTAGGGGCCCTCCTTAGACATTCGGGGGGCCCCCTTGGGGCCCTTCGGTGGGGTGTGTTAGGGTGAGGATGTTTGTAAGGGTTTGTTCGGGTGTATAGACAGCTTAGCAGCTCTTAAGAGTAGAGGGGCCCCCAAAGAAAGGAAGTACATTACTTTTTGTGCTTTGTTTGTCGTAGGGAGCTGCTAGAGGCGTCTTTTGCTATTCTTCCTGAAGACGGACCCCCAAGAAAGGGGCAAAAAGATAGCTCATTTGGTGCTGCTGCTGGTGCTGCTGCTGCTGCTGCTGCTGCTGCTGGTCGCTCCAGACTGACCGAAAAAGAAAGAGCAGAGATGCAGTATGCAGCATTCTCAGGTGAGGCATTTAGGGGGGTTCTGCTGCTGCTGCTGCTTTTACTGCAGCAGCAGCTGCTGCTGCTGCTTGTGCTGCTGCTGCTGCTTGTGCTGCTGCTGCTGCTTGTGCTGCTGCTGCTGCTTGTG